TACTTCCTTCCACCAGATCCAGCGCCCGCTCTCGGGGTTCGGAAACCCGTGCTGCGGTACTTCCCCCCCGGGTAGAGGGTGCACCAGAGGCCAGTCTCGTGAGACTGGTTCCCTTAGGAGGTCACCTGGCGGTGTGGGAGCCCCTGCCAAGTGTGCTTCATTGGGTCCTGCCCCGAGCAGACTCTGGGCTAGTCTTCCTAACAGACGACGTGGGTCTGAGGGCCGTCGTTTTCAATAGGAGACTTCAGCTATGAGAGTCCTGATGCTGTGGCTCAGGACATTGGAGGGCAGGCCCCACGAGGTTCAGAGCCGGTCACGCTGAAGGGCGTTCCCCTAGCGTTTTCCGATGCAGCGTCTCGTTCCTTCGAGGAACTATGGTTACATACGTAACCTGAGACGTTTCTCATGCACTAAGCCAGAAATGTCAACATCAGTAGCACTAACACATCAAATATTCCAGTTCTACTCTATATTTTGAAGATTTTTACAGAGGGCTCGATAATATTTATATATATATATAACATTTTATTCCTAAAAACATGGTGATTTTTCCTGGATGTTTGACAGTACTATTATTAATGGAGTTATAAAAAGAGATCCAAAATAAACATTTAACTCAAATATTTCAACAAAACGACACTATTTTGAACCTGTTTTATACAATATTTACATTTATGTTGTAGAAAACATGCAAATTAGCACATATTTAATTAGATGACTCATTTGCATACTTATAGCATTTCAGAAAACATACAAAAACTAATATGAAATAATTGTCTTAATGTACTATGATTAATCAACCTAGGAGAGTATGGCGATATCTGTGTTAAAGTCTAGTGTCATGCCTTAAAATGTAAAAATGCAAAAGGGTTTCTGTGAGGTTTAGGGGTAAAGTTAGGAGATTCAGTAGTAAATATCTTTAGATCAGTATAAAAACAACAAAAGTCAAAGATAAGTGCCTTCTATAATAGAAAAAAAAAAGTTTCTTTGGAAGTAGCAAACCCCTCCAAATAAAGCTCATAATGTTGCTAAATAATGTCTTAATCCATATGATACAATTTTAGGGTTAGTCTAAATAATTTTTTTAAGAACAGCAGGAGTCAGTGTCAGTAGTAAATATCTTTAGATCAGTATACAAACAACAAAAGTCAAAGATAAGTGCCTTCTATAATAGAAAAAAAAAAAGTTTCTTTGGAAGTAGCAAACCCCTCCAAATAAAGCTCATAATGTTGCTAAATAATGTCTTAATCCATATGATACAATTTTAGGGTTAGTCTAAATAATTTTTTTAAGAACAGCAGGAGTCAGTGGAACATCCCAAATGTGTATGAGTGTTTGTGTGTAGGTCTTTGTTTATTTACATGTGTGAGAGTGAGAGTTTTCACTGGACATTCTTTAGGATGTTACTCCCCCCGGCACGGGCATGTCTGGACATGCCTTAAGTAGACAAGAGACACGTGAGACGGTGTGTGTAAACAAAGGGGGAGGTAGAGAAAACTGTGTGATGTAACAGCACATGCAGCTGGGTGTTAGCCATCATACTTTGTTCTCACAGGCCAACTTGTACTGTCCCTATAAACATCAGACATCCTGGACCTGTCTGAATGCGACGGCCTTTGACACATTCGGAAACGCTCCCACTTTCACCCAGATTCCTACTGACCACCAACAGATTGTTTACTTTGCCTCTCCGTCTCTGTCTGTGTCCATTACAGCTTTACCCATGCAAAGCTTTCTGACAGATGAGGGTAAATATCCAAACAGAAAATCAATAACCAGCTGCCTTTACACACACACACAGTTATATCAATAACAGCATCCCTCATTCTTACCGATACAGTATGTACTAGTAAACAATAGTATTTTTTGACTAAGTTAGAGGTCTGAATCTGTCAGGCTCCGCTGTGGCAAAATACGGTTCACTGCTCTTCTCGTTTCTTTATATTGCTGTACAGCCATTAATCGTCTGAGCTCTTGTGGCCTGGTTTTTGTCACAAAGCCAAAACATACATTCACACTGACATTTTAATGCCCTCAAACACAAAGATGCATGCACTTGGGAAAACTCCTCAAGTTCAGGACATGGGAAAGAATCCGGAAGGACTTCGATATTAAAAGAATGAGGGGGTTGGTCATGGGTTCAAGACTGGGAGAGTCTCCATTGGCTGCTGGCAAGTACTTATCCTCCTTTTCCCCTCAGTGTTAGTGATAATATTCATTTTAATGTCATGTCTGTTGAATGATTATTTGCATGCAAAATTTGCCACTTTTTAATATATTTTAAAATGCTAAATATTCGTGTGTTTTACTCCAGATTTCAGTGTCACATGATCCTTGAGAAATCATTCTGACATGCTGATTTAGTGCTCAAGAAACATTCTCACTGTTATCAGAGTTGAACAAAAAGACACATTACCCTGAACAAACAAAAACAGAGATAAAAAAAAAGATTCTCAGTATCAGCCCAGGTATTCGTTGCTGATAATACGTGAGCAAAAACATCTTAACTACTTATAATTGGTTTGCCTCCAATTCAATGCAGGGTAAAAAAAAGATTCTCAGTATCAGCCCAGGTATTCGTTGCTGATAATACGTGAGCAAAACCATCTTAACTACTTATAATTGGTTTGCCTCCAATTCAATGCAGGGTCAATGTCAGGTTACAGTGAGTTGCTCAGAGACAAGAAGCCAAAGTATGAGAGCTGAATGCATTTGTCACAACATCACTTTCACCCCAGTTAACAGTCGCAGCATTCCAACTGAGATTTGTGTTTATCAACCATAATGAGGGCAAACTGTGTACACAAAAGCAGTTTTGATAGGTGAAACAAATCCAGCACAATCATATAAATATACACTGATAAGGAAATTCTGGGGCGATATCAATAACAATTAATCAACAGCTTATTCTGGCTGATATAATAACTGGTGCATTTACTTTATGAAATATTATAATAATAAACATAAGATGAAGCATCACACAGATAAGATAAGTCATGAATCGTTGGAAAGATCGCATCACCGAGACACTAAAATAAACCCAGTAAAACTAAACAAATGAGTTAAAATATTGGGCAGTAATTCCATTTTTGGTATCATTATAATAAACTGAATTTAACCAGTAAGTGCAAATAATATAACTGCTGCTATTTCATTTACATCTTTGCATTGCAAGTTTTATCTTGTAATTAATAAAACAATTTAATGAGTGAAGTGATATTGCTCTGAAAACTCATTTCTGCCAACATTGTCAGCTCAGTGCAAAATTCCTAGTCCAATTTTGCTTATGAGTCTGGTCCAGAACCTTTTAAACAAAACTGGCTCTCACACATACCTTTAAACAAGCTGAATCTTTTTCCAGGTAACAGCAGCTATCAATTTTGACTTTATAACCATTTAACAGATCGTAAACGTGAAGAA